TGGGTATAAACCAGTGCCTGAGCCAAAGTTCCACTTACACCTATAATCAATAAAGTTGTGGCCATTTTTAATCTAGATTGTTGTCCGCTTGAGTTTGTACTGTCACACCTCACATACCGTATTGGCCCAAATATAAGCGGAACCCAAATATAAGCCGCAGCTTTAAAATTAGAGGGGGGGGGAGAAAACAATACCCAAATATAAGCCGCTCCATTCCTCACTGCTCCTGGCTGCATATTGGGGGGGGGGTGACGGGACTCCACTGCGTTGCCGACGGCCTTTCGCCTTCCTTGTTCTCTCTTCCCAGTCTTGGGGGAGAGGGCGGGGGACTATGCATGGGGCGGGCGCTGTTTTGTCATGCTCCTGGCGCCGTCTGCCACGCGCTCCTGGCGCCATACCGTAAAGTTGTGAATATAAGTCACACTTTAACTTTTCACAGTCAGAATTTGGGGGGAAAGTGCAGCTTATATTTGGGCCAATATGGTAGTACCTATTTTTCACTCTATAGGAGGCACCCGACCATAGGACGCACCTTGTTTTAGAGGGGGGGGGACAAGAAAAAAATCTCCCCCTCTCTGTGCAGTGCCCCTTCAGTGAAGCGGCAAGAGAAATGGAGCCCCTTCCATTTTTCCTCCCGCTTAGCTGAAGGGGCACCTATCCTTCAGTGAAAGGAACCCGAAGCCTCCGGAGCCCGGAGGGAACTCCCGCTGCGCTCCGGAGGCTTCAGGCGGCTATCTTTGAAGCCTAGAGAGCGAGAGGCGTCGGTGCGCACTGACCCCTCTCGCTCTCCAGGCTTCAGTGAAGGCAACCCAAAGCCTCCGGAGCGCGGCGGGAGCGCTCCCACTGCGCTTCAGAGGCTTCGCGTTGCTATCGCTGAAGCCAAGGAGCCTACATTCGCTCCATAAGATGCACACACATTTCCCCTTAATTTTTGGAGGGGAAAATGTGTGCCTTATAGAGTGAAAAATACGGTATTTGGCCGGGAAGGAGAGGCACAGCAACTAGAACGGCAACAAGGTGTTGTTATTTCAAAAGCGGCCTTTTTAAGAGCTCTGACAAAGACAAAATTCGGAGCTTGGCAGATTGGGCAAAAACTCTTGAGCAGCATCCCAACCTCTGAGTTCCTCAAAGGACAGAAGCACTCGTCCCTTTGGGAATGTGTTTTCCTAATTTCTGTTCCATGGATTCGAAGAGCTGCGGTTTTGGAAGCAGCACATCCAGACTGGCTTTTAGGAGAAGAACCAGCCTTCCTTATTATTTTCATTTTATTGCAGCCAAAGCTATTTTCACCCAACTGTGACAAGCGTGGGCATGTTATTTGAATAGATCTTTCCCCAAAATGTAACACTAGCTCTCTGACACCTGTTTACATTTTCATAGAGACTAACATGTGACGGAAAAGTTATTCAAAACCAGAACATGCACGAATGTTGCTGCATCAAACTGTGTCGCGTCTGTGAACAATGGGGCTTTGGAGCTGCTGCTCTCCTCCCAGGCCTTCTTCCCCTCTCATGTTTTGTGATTCTCTGCCCCACAGTGCAAGGATCGTGGCCCTAGCATTAAGTACTGCGAGGTGGCTGCTGTAATAAGTGGAATCATTGCTTTCCTGTAGCACGCAGAGCTTTAAAATGACATTGCACAAAGAAGAGGCTGAGGCAATGGGGTGTAATGGATTGACCTAGACGAGAGAGAGAGAGAAGAGTTCAACAAGTTTATTCAAAGTGCTGGGTTAAAAAGAAACAGCAACTATCTATGCTTAACAAATGAATATATCTGAAGAATAATTTATGGCGTTACATCCCGATATGATGTGCACTGTGCACAGTGCCTGAAATGCGGCAGATTTTATTCTGAACTGCTGTATTGCAGTCTGAAATAAACTTCCCGGTTCCTATCTCTTTCAGAATATATCTTTGCAGGTGTTTGCCTTTGCTTTTAAGCAAACAGGCAAAAATGTCCCGATAAAAGCATTTTGAAGTGCCCCACAAATTTTCAATCCAAAGACATTTTAATAGATTTACATAAGCATCCATCACTAGGTAAGAGGTAGTTTTGTAACTATCTGACAGGATTATAAGATCATTAAGTGGACAAAATAAAAATAAAAATCAATATCTGACAACTCTATATATTGATCAGAACAAGAGTTTCCTAATTACTTTGGCCAATTATAATGTACTAAGAGCATCTATTTTTGAAAGAGAAAAAAAGCAAGAAAGTCGTGTCGCCAGATTCATTTAAATTATGTACCAGACCTTTAGACACGATGGAGGACTAGAGAACTGAGTGAAAGGGACAGGGCAGGGCAAGGCAGAAGGGTCCTGAACTTCGGAGCCCTGAACATTGACAAGGTTGTTCCCATTGTTTGTCCCAGTAGCGCATTGGAACAGAGGGGAGAACAATGGTAAGGACTCAAAAGAAATAAGCGCAAACTCTCCTGGAGGAGAACACGATTTAACAAGCCATATTTATTTGCATTGAAGAGTGTATTTAATGAGAGAGTGTGTTATAGAAATACAACTTTTTAACTTTTCCAAATGATAGATAGATAGATAGATAGATAGATGATAGATGATAGATATAGATAGATAGATAGATAGATAGATAGATGATAGATAGATAGATGATAGGATAGATAGATAGATAGATAGATAGATAGATAGATAGATAGATGATAGATAGATACTGAAAGAATTACAAAATACAACATGGATGGGTCATTGTAAGATCATTAAAGCATAAATAAGTGGGATGAGCTCAGAACTGGGATATTTTCTGGGAAGGTATGGATGACTGATGATGGAGATGCTTGGCCGTGTCCAGAAGCTTCAACTAGAAACATTCAACAAGTCAAATTAACTGTGGGATTTTTGCTTCCTCTTCCCAGGCACTCAGCCTTGCTTTTGACCAAGGCTGTTCTCCCATAATACAGAGCATAAGCTTGAGTTGCTGCCTCATTTCACAAATGAGATAACAAGGGTTTATGCAAGGCCACTGTAAGGACAGGACCAAGGACTCCAGCATGACAGGTGGTGATCTGAGCTGCTGAGTGACTTCCCTTTGAGCTATAATTTCCCAGCATACAGCTGCAGGCCTTACCGCTTAAGTCTCCCTAACAGGCACAGTGCTGTATTCAGAAATAAACCAGAACCGAAAGCAGGAATGGATTAAACTGAGACCCTGAAAATTCTCACTGTGAGGTAAGATTTTTCTCAGCTTACCACCTTAGGGAAACAGCAAAAACCTAGCTTTGCAATATCTTACTTTTGTTGCTACATTTTTGTAGTCTCTTTACGTCTCCTTCATCCTCCTCTATATTAAAAATGCAACTTTCACCTTAATAACATTTAATATAATCAATTTAATATTTTGAACCGGTTGTTGTTGGCGTCCGTCTGTCTCGGGAGACATTGCAAGAGTGCAGCTTCGGGGGTAAAGTTAAACAGTTGGAGAGTCGCAACGCCCGCTGTCACTGCAAGTCCAATGTGTGAGAAACATGCTTCATTGCAGCTGGAGCAGATGAAGGCATCTGGTTTTGCTGCTACAGGTGCACCAAAGTGTTTCTTCTCTCTGTGCTCCTCCCAGCGCCATTTTGAACCACCCTACCTCTCCCAGCCACTGCATTCTGCAGGAGAGGGCTTCCTGCAGATACGCTCCCATCAGGAGGTCCATCCCAAACATTGTCAAAACTGGGGCATTAGTGAGATCCTACCTACACTCTAAAAGGGACGTGGGTGGTGCTGTGGGTTAAACCACAGAGCCTAGGGCTCGTCGATCAGAAGGTCGGCGGTCCGAATCCCCGCAATGGGGTGAGCTCCTGTTGCTCAGTCCCAGCTCCTGCCAACCTAGCAGTTCGAAAGCACATCAAAGTGCAAGTAGATAAATAGGTACTGCTCCAGCGGGAAGGTAAACGGCGTTTCCATGCACTGCTCTGGTTCGCCAGAAGCGGCTTAGTCATGCTGGCCACATGACCTGGAAGCTGTACGCCGGCTCCCTTGGCCAATAAAGCGAGATGAGCGCCGCAACCCCAGAGTCGGCCACAACTGGACCTAATGGTCAGGGGCCCCTTTACCTTTACCTTACCTACACTCTAAAGCACCACCTCTTCTAACTTTTCAGTGCCTGTTGGAAGGACTTTCTTTTCCAAGAAGGCTTTTAAGTGGATATTTGTATTCCAGTCTGATTTCAGATTGGTTTTTTATATTTGTTGTTATTGCTGATGCTCTTGTTACCAAAAACATCAGCTTGCTTGATGGGAAGCAATTTGGAAATGTACTGTGTTTGTGTGTCCCTGAGCATCTCTGAGAGGCTTCTGCCCAGGTATGTGTGTTGGGGAAACTGAGGTGATGGAGGAGTGTTTAGGGATGTGTCTACATGGGACACACCAGGTGCCGATCAGGTTTGGAAAAGTGTTCCAGTTCTCCAGAGCCCAGGCCACTTTTCTTCCTCAGTGCTCCATCTGTAGGGGGCTGATGGGCACTGAGGCAAATACAGAGGGGCATTTCTGGGTAGGAACCTAGAGGACTTTTTTGTGGGCTACTTTTGGACCCTGTGCAAATCCTGATATCTGCTTATCGTGGGTGCTGTCCACTGATAGGGAGTTTGCTTTGATAGGTGTTATCTCCTGACAGTTTTGAAATCCCTAACAAAATCTTCCAGAATTCTTCTGTCAAAACAGGTTGAGGATAGAGCGAGAAGCTCAAAGCCTTAAAACTAGGATCCTTTTGACAGGCTTGGTATGGCTGCTACCTGAAATAAATGTGATGGGAAAGGAGAAAACCTGTGTTCAGTTTCAATAAGCTAGATGAGGCCTTGACTGGCTTGGAGACAGGGAAACGTTCACTCCTGTCACCAACTGTTTCCACTTTGTTCCTTTCAGGGGAGCAGAAATGTGGAGTAATGGCTGGCTGGTTAAGTTCAAGAAAAATAAGCTAGCAAGTAGCACAGAGACTCAAACTGGCCAAATGTCTGTCAGTCCTGTTGGCCATTATTTGGGAAAGTTCTGTTAGGTAAGATTTATTGCTTTACTCTTGTCGTCCAGCACACTTCCCCCTGCGAGCCTCTGCAGGTCGTAAAGCAATTAGCAGAATTTGCACAGCGTCCGTGTATGAAAGGGCAGTCAGTAAATAGGTCCCACACGTTTCTTCTTTCCTAATAGCACTTTATTTGCTCAAAAATAGCATATTTACAGTTCATATACACCATCTGATTCCAGTTGCATTTTGCGACCTGTTTGCATCCTTCTCCCTCAGCAGCAGCTGCGGAACAAAGCTGCTTTCACTTTTCACTCAGCTCACAGCATTCCAAGCTGCTTTCGTCACGTCCTGGCTTACTTCCCTTGTAAGCGCCTCCTCTCAGCCTCGAGACACAGAAGGTTAACCCTTCACTACACCCAACACCCCCTCTTGTCTCGCGCCTGAGGGGAGAATCGACCCTTGGTCGTCCCAAACCCAGACCTTCACAAAACTCCCCATGTCTTTGGAAGGTGAGTGGCTTCGTGAACCCATCAGCTAGGTTCTTGGCAGAGGGACAATACTTCAGCGCAACTAATCCCTCCTGAACACTCTGGCACACATTCCGAAAACGAATGTCTAGGTGTTTCGTTCTGGCCTTGAACTGACCTGACTCTGCCAAACGCAGGCATGGTTGATTGTCCTCGAAAACACGTATCGGCAGACAATCCACTTCGCAGAGTTCCTGCACCAAACAAGCATAGAACTCTACTTCTCTGCACATCTCTGAAAGAGCACTAAACTCAGCCTCAGTGGATGAGAGCGCTATAAGACTTTGCTTCTTGGACCTCCATCCAACTACTGAGTTCCCAAACTTCACCACTAGGCCAGACACAGACTTGCGATCCTCAAGATTAGCCCAATCCGAGTCCACAAAGCAAGTCAGTTTGACTTCTCCTTGTGCTGGCAACCTAAGACAAAAGTCTTTGGTCTCCTGCAAATACCTCAGAACTCTCTTGATGCCATTCCAGGCTTGCACACTAGGGTTTGATGCCTCCCTGCTGAGCAGATTGACAGCAAACGCTATATCAGGTCTGCTCCACTGGGACAAGTACAACAAACTCCCTAGGGCTGACTGAAACACTTCAGTATTTTCGAACGCAGCGCGTTCTGCTTGCTGGCTGTCCTTCACAAAACTAGTCTCCATAGGACTTCTCACTCCTGCACAATCACTCATCCTGAACTTCTGAAGCAGTTGCTCAATTTTACCTCTCTGGCTGAGCAAAAACTTCCATCCTGTGCACGCTCAACATTGACACCTAGATAGGTTTTGACAGCACCAAGCTGTTTAAGCTTGAATCGTTTACCTAGCTCTTTGGCAAACTTCTCCGCCTGTTCATCTGTTTCTGAGACGAAAAGCACGTCATCAACCCAAATCAGCACCAGCTCCTGTGAGTCTCCTGATCCTCTAAGGAACAGGCAACTATCAGCAAGACTCTTCCTGAAACCTAGCTTCTCCAAAGCTTCATTCAGGCACATGTTCCAGTTTCTAGCAGATTGACGTAATCCATAGATGGATTTGTGCAATCTCCACACAACATCCTGCCTTGAGTTCTCAAACCCCGGAGGAGGAATCATGTACAGCTCCTCCTGGAGATCTGAGTTAAGGTAGGCAACATCCACATCAAAGTGGTTTACCTTCCAGCCTCTCTGTGCTGCACAAGCTAAAAGCGTTCTCAGAGTCTCCGCTCGTGACGTTGGCGAATACACCTCCGTGAAGTGTATTCCCTTCCTCTGAGTAAATCCTCGAGCAACTAACCTGGCTTTATACTGCGGCTCTCCAGCGTCAGTGGGTTTCAAGCGGTAAACCCATCTGGAACTCACAGCCTGCTTCCCCGGTGGCAACTCTGTGAGTGAGAACACACCTAGATCTTTCATGGACTTCATCTCTTTGTCCATTGCCCTGTGCCACTTGCCTGCTTCTTCCTCAGGTAAACTCTGAATATCCTCGAAGGATTCAGGTTCACATCTTGCAGAACCTACCCAGACGCCTGAAGCGTCGTACCGATCAGGAGGCCTCCTTGTCCTCGCTGATCTCCTCAGTGTGACTCCTGGTGACCCTGCTGCTTCACTGGGTCCAGCTAAATCATCCTCAACTTCAGTGTCTTCCCCCTCTGACCTGCTGCGCCTCTTGGGCCTTACAGCTGGTCCAGCAGGTGAAGAAGGCTCACTCTTTGGCTCAAACTTGACACTTGCCTGAGGAGGTGTTCTAGGTTCCCCCCTCTGAGGGATCCTGAGCTGTCCCTGCCTTGGACTCTGTCCCTCTGGACCGTGGTCCCCAGCTCCAAGTTCCTCCTCCTCCTCGTCTGAGTCATAGAACTGCTGTGGAAGCACGTCTGGATTAGCGTGCAGACGTTTCCAACCAGCTTGCTCACAGAACTCAGCGCTATTGCTGATAACCAACCTAGACTGGTCTCCACTTGGGTACGCAAACCTCCAGGCCTTTGAGCCAGGCTCATACCCTACAAAGATCATCCTTTTAGATCTTGGCTCACCTTTCTTGCGTAGAGCCTTTGGAATAAGCACCCAAGCCTCACAACCAAACACACGAAGGTAGTGTACCTTAGGCTTCTCTCCATGAAGTAAGAAATACGGTGTATTTCCTACACTAGAGTTGTACACTCTGTTCTCGGTATGGACCACATAGTGCCAAGCCTCCGACCAAAATTTCTGGGGTAGCCCTGCGTCCCACAGGATCGCAGACACAGCTTCCTGCACCGTCCTGTTCTTTCTCTCTGCGACCCCATTCTGTTGCGGAGAGTAAGGAGCGGTCAGTCTGTGGCTAATCCCCTTCTCCCTAAAGAAATCCTGTAAAGCAGAACCAGTGAATTCAGCACCTCTGTCACTTTGAAAACCACGAACTTTGGTGGAAAAGGTTACCTCAACTGCGGTGATCCAATCCCTGATCATTTTAGCCGCCTCCCCTTTCGTTTTCAGAGAGAAGGTCCAAGCAGACCTCGAAAAATCATCAATCAAAAGCAAAGAATACTTCGAACCTCCCAGTGACTCAACAGACATGGGTCCACACAAATCTGCATGAATTAATTCAAAGGGTTGTGTGGTCTGCCTCTCTGACTTTGGATATGAGCATGTCACAACTTTCGCCTGTTTACATGCATTGCAATCTAGAAATTTGTCACAAACATTAAATTTGCACCCTTGTGTCAGCTCTGGTGCTTTCTGGAGAAATCTCTAATTTAAATGAGCGAAGCGCCGGTGCCAAATATGTAAACAACCATTGTGGGGCGCTACATTCACACATTGGCCCTTCGCATCTTCGGTGTCATCCTCTCCTGTGGAAAAAGGCACATTTACAGCAAACAAATTATCTTTAGACTGCACTGTGTACACGTGTTTCCCATCCTTGGAAAATTCACATTTGTCACCTGCAAAAGAAATTTGAAAATCATCGATCAATAGATCATGCACACTTAACAAACAGTTAGTTAAACCGGGCACTGCATAAGCTTTGACTTCATGCTTAAGAAAAGGACAAAAGAACAATCCTGTGTCTGTGAGCCTTTTTCTGCTCCCATCTGCAAACTTAACAAACTTCTCAGTTTTTACTGTCCTGCAATTCCTCAAAAGATCAGCAGATGGCACTAGCGAATTTGAGGCACCAGAGTCTATTATTATAGTGAGAAAGTCTTGTTGTTTACATTCCTGGGTCGCCAGGGCAACAATCTCCTCACTACCCCCCTCCTTGGGGCTTCTGCAGATGTCCTCTCTGGTTGTCACGGCAACAGACTCCCCGGCAGGAAGACTTGCCCACGACCTTGACAGCTTCCGTAGATGCAACTCTCTCAGTTGCCATGGAGACTGGACTTGTCTCGGCGTTCCCACACAACTCTGAAGCGCTTATCTCTACTTGCTGCAGGTGGCTGACCTTGAAGCCTCTAGCACTTTTCAGCTTCCCAGGCTCCGACTCACGACGTAAACAACTCTTGGCAGCTTTTGGAGAAAGAGGCGTCTCTGAGCTTTCACTGCTCACTGCCCCCCCACTGCTCACGGGGTCTCCAGAACGTTTTTCTGCACCCCCTCTGAAGGGTAAAGGGCTCTCAACACTTGGCCTCTGTCCAGGTTTCACACACAGACACGTTGCAGCATCCACACAGCTCCCAGGCTCAGCAAAAGCACAAGCAGCATTGCTAGCAACAACAACAGCAACAGCAACAGTCCCTTCGCCCCCCTGTGGGGGCTCACAGCTACTCCCAGCTGTGCATCGGCACTCAAGGATGTGGCCGGCGCCATCTTGCCTCTCCCTTTCGGATGCAGCCACTTCTCGGCCCTTGCTTCCCACTCCAGCTCCACAAGCTTCTTGGAGTGCTAGCCAAGCGGCCTCTGGCTTTCTTGCACCCAGGACAACAGGCACCAGATGAGCATCCACACTTTCTGCCAAAAAAGCAAGCACACGCTTCTCCACTTCACTTTGCTCTGCAGCCCACTTAGCCTCTGCTTTCCCAGCTGCATTCTGTGTGGGGTGAATTACATTCCACAGCTGCTCCCCAACTAGCAAAAGCTCCACTTGAAAGCTCCACTGCAGCCAATTTTGGCTAGTCAGTTTCTGACATGGCAGTTTAAACTCAAAGCCATGTTCACAGGGCTGAGCCATTGCCCCCTTCTGTTGGCTTTTCCCAAAGGGTACTCACTCACTCAGCCAAACTGGGAAGTCCGGACGTCATGGCTCTTGGCTCCCACTCTCTGTCAGCCTCCTCCGATCTGCCTCTTTGAAGTCTCCGGCAGTCAATCAAGCTGACGTTCAGCAGATAAAACTTCAAAGCCCTTTCTCACACTTCACGTTGACCCATAACCATGTCCATAACCATGTTAGGTAAGATTTATTGCTTTACTCTTGTCGTCCAGCACACTTCCCCCTGCGAGCCTCTGCAGGTCGTAAAGCAATTAGCAGAATTTGCACAGCGTCCGTGTATGAAAGGGCAGTCAGTAAATAGGTCCCACACGTTTCTTCTTTCCTAACAGCACTTTATTTGCTCAAAAATAGCATATTTACAGTTCATATACACCATCTGATTGTAGCTGCATTTTGCTCCCTGTTTGCATCCTTCTCTCTCAGTAGCAGCTGCGTAACAAAACTGCTTTCACTTTTCACTCAGCTCACAGCATTCCAAGCTGCTTTTGTCACGTCCTGGCTTACTTCCCTTGTAAGCGCCTCCTCTCAGCCTCGAGACACAGAAGGTTAACCCTTCACTACACCCAACAAGTTCTACACCAGGCAATTGATGATTTCACTATTCCTAGTTGTGAAGTGAGAGCTGGACCATAAAGAAGGCTGATCGCCGAAGAATTGATGCTTTTGAAGGAAATCAGCCCTGAGTGCTCACTGGAAGGACAGATCCTGAAGCTGAGGCTTCAATACTTTGGCTACCTCATGAGAAGAGAAGACTCCCTGGAAAAGACCCTGGTGTTGGGAAAGATTGAGGGCACAAGGAGAAGGGGACGACAGAGGACGAGATGGTTGGACAGTGTTTTTGAAGCTACCAGCATGAGTTTGACTAAACTGAGGGAGGCAGTGAAAGGCAGGAGTGCCTGGCATGCTCTGGTCCATGGGGTCACGAAGAGTTGGACACAACTAAACGACTAAACAACAACAACAAGAAGTGGTGAAGTACTATTATTAGCTTGCATGTTACCCCGGGGTGGACAGATGTTGTGTCACATATCACATACCGTAGAGGAAACAAGTAGATTTTTCCCTCCTACAGGCCGTTCCACCCCAGACGTTGTTCATGTAACAACAGAGGATTCTTTACATTCCCAGTGAAACAACAGCATCTCCTCATTCCCTGAGTCTTCTGGGAAATTGGGTTGTGCCACTGTCAGGGAGTAATTTATATGGGGTACAAGAGCTTGTTCTAACAGTGTGGATGTGATATATTGGCACAGTAAAGGCTTATTAAAGACTAAGCCATACTAATAAAATGCAAAGGTTGTCATTTAGAATGAAAACCCCACTGATTTAAAGGCAGTGGGCAAATATTGGATCATCTTATATGCTCGTCATAAATCAAAACAAGCAAGGTGCAGAATGTCTCGGTGTGTAAAACCCAAAAGCGGCTCCCAAGTTTGCTGCACTTTGCAAAATTTTAATATTTTGAAAGATGTGTGCATGGGGAGATGTCTGCTTTCCAGAAGGGTTTAGGAACAAAGAAATAAGAACTTGTCCTGCGCCAGGTTAGTCCAATTGTCTGTCTAGCTCAGTATTGTCCACAGCGGTGCTAGTATAATAATAATAATTTATTATTTATACCCCGCCCATCTGGCTGAGTTTACCCAGCCACTCCGGGCGGCTCCCAATCAAGTGTTAAAAACAATACAGCATTAAATATTAAAAACTTCCCTGAACAGGGCTGCCTTTAGATGTCTTTTAAAGATAGGATAGCTGCTAATTTCCTTCACATCTGAAGGGAGGGTGTTCCACAGGGTGGGCGCCACTACCGAGAAGGCCCTCTGCCTGGTTCCCTGTAACCTTACTTCTCGGAATGAGGGAACCGCCAGAAGGCCCTCGGCACTGGATCTCAGTGTCCGGGCTGAACGATGGGGGTGGAGACACTCCTTCAGGTATACAGGACCGAGGCCGTTTAGGGCTTTAAAGGTCAACACCAACACTTTGAGTTGTGCTCAGAAACATACTGGGAGCCAATGGGGGAGAGGACGGAACCCTGAGGCACCCCACAAGTGAGAGCCCAGGGGTATGAACACTCATCTCCCAACACTACTTTCTGGACATGGCCCAGGAGGAAGGAGCGGAACCACTGTAGACCTCTAGACGGTCCAGAAGGATGTTATGGTCAATGTTAGTAGTCCTCCTAGGGGTCTTGTCCATCTTCGTCTAGAGATACCATGGCAGAAGAGCCCTGCTACATCCAGCCAGAGGCCTGCCCAGTTCTCCCAGTGGCCAGCCAGATGCCCACTGGAAGCCCACAAGGAGAACTTGAGTGGAAAAGGCAGAGGCACCTATGATGCCCAGTATTCAGAGAGGCAGACTGTCTCTAATAGCGGAGGCAGAACATAAACAATATGGCCAGGGCCAGATTTAGGTTTGATGAGGCCCTAAGCTCCTGAAGGTAATGGGGCCCTTTCTATGTCCAGCTGCCCTTTGTCAACAACAAATGGTCGCTGTTTTTTGTGTTGACTATAAGCTATATAGTAATTTATGGACCTCATAGGTATCTCAAGCCATTTGCACATGTTGCCCTGCAACCATTCCATGCAGAATGTAGGCACCCTATACATGGAAAGGAGCAAACCAGTGATATTTTAGGGAGCAGGCTAGCAGGCAGAGACCATGACTTACATCACAGGAGCCTACACAATGCAAAACACTGTTGCTGTCTGTAGGTTTTGTTTTATTTCTTTTTTATCTTTTATTTTGGAAACGTTTTTTGCCTTTAATTTTTTTTTGGGGGGGGCCAAGAGAGTGGGGCCCTAAGCTAGAGCTTGTTTAGCTTATACGTAAATCCGGCCCTGGATATGGCCAGTGTCCGACCATTGATCGCCTGTTCCTCCATGGATTTATTCAGTGCTATTTTTCTAGGAAAAGAGGTGCCAGAACTTACCACGACCACCTCCCTTGTTCTCTTAGGATGGCAAAGGTGCCCATTTGACGGGTGCCGGTGAGTTCCAGCTGAAAAAAAGCCCTGAATTTATCAAATCTTCTTCTAAGGCAGCCCAGGTTGTTGGTCATCAGTGCCTCTTGTCAGTGTGGATTATAGTTTAACCACACACCACGTGACGTGGTACTTCAGCAGTCCTGAATCTTCTGACATTTAGCATCCCTGATTCAATCCCAGGACCTTTTACATGTAAAATGTGTGCTCTGCCTCTGAGCCATAGCTCTTACCCAGTGATCTCATGATGGGTCAAGGCAGTGCTTTTTTTTCTGGGGGGATACATGGGTATGCATACTCCTAAACATTTTGTGAATCTTTGTACTTTTGTCCATTTAATGTATTTATTTTTCCCAATTTGAACTATAAAATGGTGATTTTCTTGAGTCAAAATGAGAATACAGTGGTACCTCAGGTTACAGATACTTCAGGTTACATACGCTTCAGGTTACAGCCTCTGCTAACCCAGAAATATTACCTCAGGTTAAGAACTTTGCTTCAGGGTGAGAACAGAAATCGTGCTCTGGCGGTGTGGCAGCAGCAGGAGGCCCCATTAGCTAAAGTGGTGCTTCAGGTTAAGAACAGTTTCTGGTTAAGAACGGACCTCCGGAATGAATTAAGTACTTAACCTGATGTACCACTGTATGCCCAAACATTTTTTAGAAGGGAAAAAAAAAAGCACTGGGTGAAGCCATTCTAACTCTCTTTCCTGCACCTCCAAAAACTGGGATATAAAGAGACTGTCAAGTCCCAAGATGGGAAGCAGCTCAAACGAGATGCCAAACAGTAGGGCTGAGCTTTTTTTCTTTAGAAAATCCCCAAAAATTCTGAGCATTTTTAAGGAAAACCCGAAAATTATTGAGCTTTTTAAATTAAAAAAAACACGCAAATTTTCGATTGACTCGTCTAAGGTTTGGAAATTCTCCCCAGACGTCAATTCCGCCTTTGAAATCCCAGGAAAATCCGGATCTATGGCAGCCATGTTGTCATTGTTGTTGTTTATTTATATGAGTAAAAAACTTGTGTTCATAGGTGACCTTTACTATCTATAGATGTGACCTGGGCCTTGATCCCTTATTTA